CCCGCTCGGGGCCGCTGCCGCCCCTTGGTCTCCAGGAAGCTCCGCAGGCGCCGCTGCCGCTCCCGGCCCCGCTCGGCCTCGCCCGGAGCCCCCCGGGACCCCCGGGACCCCCGCGGGACCCCCGGGGCGCTGCGGGAGCGAGAACGGCGGCGGTCCCGGGGGGAACGGGGGTCCCGGGGGGGATTTGGGTGGGGGTCCCGTGGGGATTTGGGGTCCCGGGGGGGTTTTGGGGGCTCCCGGGGGGGATTTGGTGCTGCAGATGATAGATAGATGTAACACACATGTCACACACGTGTCCCCAGGATAACCCCGCGTACCTGTCGGCCATGTCACACACCTGTCACACACAGGATAACCCCACCTACGTGTCGGCCATGTCCCACACGTGTCCCACACGTGTCCCACACGTGTCCCCCCAGGATAACCCCACCTACATGTTGGCCATGTCACACACGTGTCCCACCCGTGTCCCACATGTGTCACACACAGGATAACCCCACCTACGTGTTGGCCATGTCCCACACGTGTCACACACGTCACACACATGTCCCACATGTGTCCCACATGTGTCCCACCCGTGTCCCCCCAGGACAGCCCCACCTACGTGGCGGCCATGTCCAACACCTGTCACACACGTGTCCCACACACATGTCCCACACGTGTCACACACATGTCCCACCCGTGTCCCCCCAGGACAGCCCCACCTACGTGGCGGCCATGTCCCAAACCTGTCACACACGTGTCCCACACGTGTCCCCCCAGGACAGCCCCACCTACGTGGCGGCCATGTCCCACACGTGTCACACACATGTCACACACACATGTCACACACATGTCCCACCCGTGTTCCCCCAGGATAACCCCACCTACGTGTTGGCCATGTCCAACACCTGTCACACACGTGTCCCACACACATGTCCCACACGTGTCCCACGCGTGTCCCACCCGTGTCCCCCCAGGATAGCCCCACCTACGTGTCGGCCATGTCCAACACGTGTCACACACATGTCCCACACGTGTCACACACATGTCCCACCCGTGTCCCCCCAGGATAGCCCCACCTACGTGTTGGCCATGTCCAACACCTGTGACACACATGTCCCACACACGTGTCCCACGCGTGTCCCACCTGTGTCCCCCCAGGATAGCCCCACCTACGTGGCGGCCATGTCTCAGACGTGTCACACACATGTCCCACGCGTGTCCCACCCGTGTCCCCCCAGGATAACCCCACCTACGTGGCGGCCATGTCCCACACGTGTCACACACATGTCCCACACATGTCCCACCCGTGTCCCCCCAGGATAACCCCACCTACGTGTCGGCCATGTCCAACACCTGTCACACACATGTCCCACACACATGTCCCACGCGTGTCCCACGCGTGTCCCCCCAGGATAACCCCACCTACGTGGCGGCCATGTCGCGGTGCCACCGCCGCGCGGGGCAGCGCCTCCTGCAGGGGGCGCTCTCCAACGGGGGCCTGTACGTGAAGCTGGGCCAGGGCCTGAGCGCCATGGAGCACCTGCTGCCCCCGGAGCTGGGGGGGGGCCTGCGGCCCCTGGAGGACAGCGCCACCCCCAGGGGGGGCCGGGAGGTGAGGGGGGGACACCGGGGGGACATGGGGACAGCGGGGACAGCGGGGGGGTTGGGGGGATTGGGGGG